AGGTTAGACAAACCCTCTGTGACATGTTGCTTTTACTTATTTATTGAAAAGAGTGAGTCAAACAATGACGTATGCCTATTCAATCCCAGAGCAGCACATTTTGCGTCAGGGTGCAACTCCTCTGTGTCACCAGACCAAACAAAATATGAATGATAGATGGGCAAACAACACTAAATTACAATACAGTAATAATATTTCCAAATAGGCTACTCAACACACTTGACATTGTTAGGGGGGAACTCCTCTCATTCATTGCCAATGTATAGCTCTGTCTTCATTTATATATTTGCCATGGCCAAACACTCTTTGCTGGATCACACAACTACCCTGTGGGAAGGAAACTCTAGTCCACCTTTACTCCACGCACAGAGACTCGTACAAAGCTCTCCCTCACCCTCCTTTTGGCAAATCTGACCATAATTCTATCCTCCTGATCCCTGCTTACAAGCTAAAACTAAAGCAGGAAGTACCAGTGACTCGCTCAATATGGAAGTGGTCAGGTAGCTTAGTGGGTAAGAGCGTTGTGCCAGTAACCGAAAGGTCGCTGGTTCTAGTCCCCGAGCCGACTAGGTGAAAAATCTGTCTGTGCCCTTAAGCAAGGCACTTAACCCTAATTGCTCCTGTAAGTCGCTCTGGATAAGAGCGTCTGCTAAATGAATAAAATGTCAGATGATGCAGATGCTAAGCTAAAGGACTGTTTTACTAGCACAGACTGGAATATGTTCCGGGATTCATCCGATGGCATTGAGGAGTATACCACATCAGTCACCGGATTCATCAATAAGTGCGTTGATGACGTCGTCCCCACAGTGACCGTACGTACATACCCCAACCAGAAGCCATGGATTACAGGCAATATCCGCACCGAGCTAAAGGGTAGAGCTGCCACTTTTAAGGTGCTCATCACTAAGCTAAGGACCCTGGGACTAAACACCTCCCTCTGCAACTGGATCCTGGACTTCCTGATGGGCCGCCCCCAGGTGGTAAGGGTAGGCAACATCTGCCACGTTGATCCTCAACACGGGGGCCCCTTGGGTGCGTGCTTAGTCCCCTCCTGTACTCCCTGTTCAACCACAACTGCGTGGCCAAGCACGACTCCAACACCATTGTTTGCCGACGACACAACGGTGGTAGGCCTGATCACCGACAACAATCAGACAGCCTATAGGGAGGAGGTCAGAGACCTGACAGTGTGGTGCCAGGACAACAACCTCTCCCTCAACGTGATCAAGACAAAGGAGATGATTGTAGACTACAGGAAAAGGAGGGCCGAGCACGCCTCCATTCACATCGACGGGTCTGTTGTGGAGCAGGTCTAGAGCTTCAAGTTCCTTGGTGTCCATATCACCAACAAACTATCATGGTCCTGTCTCCCGAGTGGCACAGCGGTCTAAGACACTGCATCGCAGTGCTTGAGGCATCACTACAGCCCCGGGTTCGATCACAGGCTGTGTCACAGCCGGCCGTGACCAGGAGACCCATGAGGCGGTGCACAATTGGCCCAGTATCGTCCGGGTTACGGGAGGGTTTGGCCGGCCTTGATTTCCTTGTCCCATCGCGCTCTAATGACTCCTTGTGGTGGGCCGGGCGCCTGCAAGCTGACTTTGGTCGCGTGTTGGACAGTGTTTCCTCCAACACATTGGTGCCACTGGCTTCCGGGTTAAGCGAGCAGTGTGTCGAGAAGCAGTGCGGCTTGGCAGTGTCTACCAATTGGTAGACTGTAACTACCAATTGGATGTCACGAAATTGGGGAGCAAAACGATCATGGTCCAAACACACCAAGACAGTCGTGAAGAGGGCACGACAATGCCTATTCCCCCTCAGGAGACTGAAAATATTTGGCATGGGTCCTCAGATCCTCAAAAAGTTATACAGCTGCACCATCGAGAGCATCCTGACGTGTTGCATCACTGCCTGGTATGGCAACTGCTCGGCATCCAACTGCAAGGCGCTAGAGAGGGTAGTGCGTACGGCCCAGTACATCACTGGGGCCAAGCTTTCTGCCATCCAGGACCTCTATACCAGGCGGTGTCAGAGGAAGGCCCTAAAAATTGTCAAAGACTCCAGCCACCCTAGTCATAGACTGTTCTCTCTGCTATCGCACGGCAAGCGGTACCAGAGCGCCAAGTCTAGGTCCAAAAGGCTCCTTAACAGCTTCTACCCCCAAGCCATAAGACTGCTGAACAGTTAATCAAATGGCTACCCAGACTATTTGCATTGAACCCCCCCTCGCTGTTTTATTATCTTTGCATAGTCCCTTTCCCTCTACCAACATACTACCTCAATTACCTCGGCTAATCTGTACCCCCGCACATTGACTCGGTACCCCCTATAGCCTTGTTATTGTTAACTTTTTTTTATATATATTTTTTTTACTTTTGTTTATTTAGTAAATATTTTCTTAACTCTTATTTTTCTTAACTGCATTGTTGGTTAAGGGCTTGTAAGTAAGCATTTCACGGTCAGGTCTACAGCTGTTGTATTCGGCGCATGTGACAAATAAAATTAGATTTGTTTTCAGCAGTGCTAGGGCCTGCAGCCTGATGCCTAGTGACACGGTGGCAGCAGCACTGCAGCCTGGTCTGGGGTGACCCTGGGACACGGACGAGGAGCCAAGTCACCTGGCCAGAGAATTTGTCCTGGCAGGGCCAGAGGGCAGAATGACCGCTGCCTGGGCTGGAAGCTCAGGGCTCAGGGGAGATCTGCTCTCTCCATCAAGACCCAGTATTTTATACATAATCACTTTGTCACCTCCCTCCCTCCCTCTTCATATTCTCTCTTCTTCTTGGGGACTACATTGTCCTCCCCAACCCTTCATTGACACACCAGCAATCCTATTAGCTTAGCTGTCCCTGGCAACCTTCCACTACGACACCCAGCCAGCCAGCCCTTCACTCTCATAGTCAACAACACATCCCTCAAGCAGAGTAGGCCAAAGACAGCCCCCTTATTTCTTTTAACAACAGAGCTTTTCAGCTTTGAGATGTGCATTATGTTTTGCTTGGAGTTCAAAGGCTGTCATGATGAGGAATAGCTCTAGCTCAGCTACTTCCTTTTGAGTGACATCATACATACACTTCCTCAACCATGAGGCCATCTACATGTTGAAGCGTGAGATTTCCGCCACGAGTTACACTAGCTAGAAAATATCTTAGAAGTAAGCGAAGCTTAAGCCTATGCCACGACAGTGTTAAGAGCCTGGGGTCAGTGGAATGTCAGCACTGATGAGGGTGACGGGAACCACACTTGGTATGGTTGAGAAATGCAAACCCTGCTTCACAAAGTGGAGAGCACACTAGTTTCGTTCAACGTAACATGACGTGATGTAATGTAACATTGACAGTCAATTGAGACACTCCGTATTCAGAACCTGGCTGTTAATGTGGTGCCAGTCTCCTGGCCTCAGGCTGGTGACCAGAGGGGAGGAGGAGGAGGCCTGCACAGGGCTGGGGGCTGTCCTTCCTGGGCTGCTGGAGTCATGTTTCCCCCTCTGGCTGCCTGGCTCTGTCACACAGAAATAAGAGCTGGGAGTAGGAGCGAGAAAAATAGATAAAGGGAGAGCGAGGCAGTGCCATTCCTGGCCCCGCTCGGGCTGGGCCCCTGGGGGCCCTGTGAAAAGCGAGAATGCCATGAAGTGAATGGGGGCCCATTTAGAGGTAGAGTCAGACAGTACACCTTCCAACAGTCAGCCTAATCATGATCGTGTGCTTACACGTCCCTAGCCTGGGCTGATGTCCTACTAAGAGAACTGGGCTCCATTGATAGGCAGCCTGTTTCAGCTTTTGCTTTTTTCAGAAATAGGCCAACATTGGGCTAGTTTAGCGTATTTCCAGATATTGCTGGACTGAATCAGGTTGCAAATCCAATGTTTCCCCTACATGGATAAATCACTAATTTTGCCTACTTCCATGGGAATTAGGCCTACCAGTAATGCTTTGAATCAGAAAAGGTTGAATAATGCTTGGTGCCTTGGTCCACAGTAAATTTAGTTCACTCTTTTCTCAGTGAGCCTAATAGTAGAATATTTGTGCAGCACAGCTGCATTGTCTTTTTCCAATACTAAAGGTCTGGGTTTTGGCAGGCCCTCCTCATTGTGTCAAGTTTGTTGGCAGCCTCTAATTAGGCAAATTGTGTTTGAAGTGGACCGCCGTTCAGTCTTGACAGTGGTTCTGGTGTAGTGTACTGGGCCTGTACTTCTTTCTCCTCCTCCCCTCCCCCGCACTGAAAAGGTTCTGTTAATGAGGCAGGACCCTGGTGGGTCTGGGCAGGATAATCTACAGCACCTCTCTCACATTCTAGTCTACAACACGTGTATATATGTATGTGTGCGGCGCACTGCTGTTCTCAAGGACACATTCCTCTTTTCATTCACACTCTGTAGAGCAGCCAGGAGAGAGGGAATGAGAGAGAGAGAATCCAAGGGAGAATAGAGAGAAAGAGAGCGCCTGGGGACTGGTAGAAGGGGGTCGGCAGACAGGGGAAGGTGGTGCGTTGGGAGAAGAACATAATGATTACTTCTGTTAGGGTTTAGGCTGTTTTAGCTGACCTGGTTTACTTTGCCTTGATTCCAGCCTCCCTCCACAAGGTGTGTTTGTTCTCCCTGACTGGCTTCGCCACACAAGTGTTCAGGTCATCATCCAAGAAAGAGATTTTAAAAGAGTAGAATATGTATTTGGCTTATTCTTCATTGCCATAAATTGTTTCACCTTTTAACCACGTAAACTCTTAACGATGCAGTCTGGGATCTTAAGCATTTACAAATGGAATTCGTAACATATCATCATACGAATTGCACACAAAAAATAAGGATGTGTGTGTCATACAAAATGGATGACGGAGTGTGTCATCCGAAACGGGGACCCATTTTGGCTCATCAGCACTACTTTCAAAACTACTGGCTGAAATGATACCAAAGCTGTGGAGCATCACTTTAACTCTGTTCAGATCCTATTACAAGGAGAGTGTTGCAAGAGAGCAGGGGATAGCATGTTCAAACAAACATGGGCTCGGTAGGTTACTAGGTAGATGCTGAGCCTAGAAGTTCTGTCTAGAAATCCTGTTTTCCCTGTTCTAGCTGCTTCTCCTTCTGCCTGGCTGACTAAAGCAGCAACACATCCTCCCAGTTCTGTACCTGTTACTGGGTGATACTTAAAAGCAGCTGCCGCTTGTTTCCACAGGGCTCTCAGGAGAGCCTCACTTCAAAGAGACATGGAGCTGAGCAGCCAGGAGAGGGGAGGAGAGGCTGGGTGTGCACTGAGGAGCTATGGGTTAGGGTGTGTCGCTGTGTGGCATGGCTATGTGATATGAGAGACAGTTGAGGCTTGCAGGCATGCAGGGGATATTTATAGAAGAGAGAGGGAGTGTGTGTGTGTAGAGTTAAGAATTAGGGAGGGAAATGGAGCTAATGTCCGTATTCTGAGCCTCCTCTTGTTTGTTTGGCTCCTCCTTGAGATGCTCTTAATGAGGTAGGCAGTAGGCACAGTGCAGCAGCGGGCATGAGCAAGGCCAGCTTTTTAAGCCCAGTCACATTCCACTGCGCTCTCTCTCTCGCTCTGTCTCTTGGTCTGTGTGTGTGTCGCTCCGTCACTGGGCTTGGTGTCAGTTTTGCATGCAATTCAGTGGTTTCAGCTCTCTCTGCTGCCATGGAAAGTTTCCCCCCTCCCTCCCTGCCTGTGAGTGCAGCCTGCCTGCCATGGGCTGTGTGAGTGGCATGCAGGGTGGCAGTGCCAAGGCAGTGCTCTCTGGAGGACAGACCCTCCTTTCCACCGCTCCCTTTCCTGTTTTCCTTATCTTTCGCTCTTTCAAGCTAAGCCTGGATCAGCCATTTTCTATGTTTTATTTAACTCATGCAAATAAATAAAGCCCTTTAGTTATGTTGGTTTGGTGTGTCTTTGTGCTATTTTGGGCAGAGTATGACCAAAGACAGTACAGTATGAAGATGGGGTAAAACTGCTTATCCAATAACAATCACACTTCTAGGTGACGTAATGGCGACGTTGGCTAGCTAAGCTCGTACAGAAACATGTCATCGGGTCTAACCGCTGTCTCGCGCCAAACTGCGTATGTGCAGGCTGTTAAATCAAAGGCACTGCTAAAGTTATTTTTGACCAATTAAAAATTGTCACTTTCACGAGGTTGGTGTAATAACATGTTCAACTACTTAAGACATTGGCTCGAATCTAGGTTGTGCCTTTTTAGATTTCAATAAAATGAACAACTAAGGAATCATTTTTCACTTCTCAAACTGGTCTGGTCTGCTTGGTCTGTTTCGCCAGCATTCCAAGAAGTCTTGCGATGTTGCGCCTCTGGGTTTAGAAGCTCTGTGGTATGAGGTTTTATTATTATTATTATTGAGATCCATGTTGTGGCTCTATGTGGGCAGAGAAAGTGTTAAAGGCCCTCTATAAGCCACGTGGTGAAATGCAATACCTTCTTTTAATAAGCTGATTGCTTGAATATTGCACTCAGCTCACCTTACGGAGCTTAAATATCCCTCTGCGTTACACCTGGTCTTCACTGACTACTATGCTTGCTGGAGTTCGTATGTAAGCTACAAGGCTGTTGTTGCCTGTCTCTCTCGCTGTCTGTATGTGGAGTGTTGGCGTGACCCCCAGTCATTCTGGACCCGAGCCAGTTTGGAGGCATGGCCCCAGACTTTAAAAGCAATCAGGGTTCTATTATGCCTGTCAGGTTTTCCACTCTGGGCTTGTTGTTGTATGGAACTGGTAGATATGGCAACGTCTTCCTGTTCAATTTACTAGTCACTACTGCCTTGTACAATGCAATCAGCATTAGGCCTAAATAACAGTGTAATGTTAGGGAAGGCATTGCCTCGTGTGGAGTTTGTGCACAACCCCCCCCACCCCCCACCCCTAGTACATGTTTCCTCCCTCCCCAACACACACAGACACACACCCAGCCCCCACCCGCTTCCCCTCGTGGCAGTTGGCTCAGCATGGTGTGCGCCAGCTGACCGTGCCGAATCAGCAAATGTGGGAGAGTGTGGGCAGGGTGTGGCAGAGGGGGGATCAGCAGGATCTGTGAGTGGTGTGTGTTTCTGCCTTTTGTCATTAGTTTATGTGTGTGAGAGGTAAAGAACGACCCCCACTGGCGAACCCTGAGCCTCGGAGGAATGGGAGGGGTACCATGCTCTACTCGGCACTGGGATTTATGGTGTGTGTGTGTGTGTGTGTGTGTCAAAACCACGATCTGTATTTCATGTTGTGTTGGCTAGATGATCCTTACTACTTACTACAGCGCAGACACAGTATCACCACATATCAGCTTTGGATTACATTTATAATAGAGGTTAGAATATCCTCAGCTTTTCAGCTTGTCTGTCTGTTTGCTGTTAAACACCAAGCTCTGGAGTCAATTAACCAGGAGATTCCATATCCGTCAGTCGGTCCGTGGTAAAAGAGATGGAGAACTCTAACTAGGCCTATTCACCCGTTTTTATTAAGCTGGTTATCATTGTGAGAGAGCTGTTCTCAACGACATAAGTGAGAGTAGGTAGAAAGGTAGCCTCCACTCCAATGTCTATGGCATGACAACATAGGGGAGTTGGCTAAAGCACGTACTGGTCTGGTACCAAGCTAAGACGGGCCTAAATAAAGTAGTCATGACTAGGCATTTGACCAGAGGTATATTCTTTTACACCAAGAGGCCTCTGCCTCTTGCATCACTAATTGGTGTGCACTTCTTCCTCTTCTCTCAGGCTCGGATCAAGTTCCCCATCGACTATCCCTACTCTCCTCCGGCCTTCCGCTTCCTCACCAAGATGTGGCACCCTAACATCTATGAGGTAAGAGACAGAACAACACTGTCATTGTTACTCAATCACCTCTTTTGTTTAGGCTTTTCCCCTACATAATAGTCCAATGTCCCTTTTGTCTCTTGATAGCTTTAATTTGTCATCTTCTATTAGAATGTTTTCAGACTCTGCTGCTATCATATGATTTAGCGATGGCCTAGGTAGTGCGTTTTTCTAGATGGTTAATGTATTGTTGGTAACTGACGTGCGTGTTTCTGTAGAACGGGGACGTATGTATCTCCATCCTGCACCCCCCTGTGGACGACCCCCAGAGTGGAGAACTGGCTTCTGAGAGATGGAACCCCACACAGAACGTCAGGTACCCCATACACACCACCTCTTTCTCTCCCTCACACCATGATCATTCTCTCACTACACCCCTTTTCCTCATCTTTGAAATGTGGTTGACTGTTAGTATAAATGTGGAATTTATCAATCACTTATTTTTTTTACACGCATTGATTTCATTCCATTTACTTGTTTCCGTTGTCTCCTATTTATTTTCTTTCTATTTCTCGCTCACTCACATATATTACTACACACAGACACACTGTCACAGACATAGCAGGATATATAATTACTACATTGGATCTCCTCGGCAGCGCGGCAACTACAGTCAATTAAAAATAGCCTCACGTGTCTTTGCCCAGAGAGACACTACGGGTGTGAAAAAGTTGGAGTGGAGCGAGAATGCTGTGTACACAGTCATATCACACATTTTGACTACCTTCGTCTCCGCTATGTTGAGTTCTGAGGTGACATTTTCCTAAGCTACAACACATCACACCATTTTATCAGTGGACCTGTCTTCTTTAGTTTATTAGCCAGGTTTAGACTTCCCCTGAGCACGACAACAAACTAAGGATGCGACAAATGTGCAATTGTTCTTATTGTTTAAACTGACATTCTTTTTAACGTTTAAGCAATAAGAAAAAATCATAAAATGACAAATTCACAATTCAAATATTATACTGCTTATGACCGCTAGGGTGCAATGCAGTTCAATCTACCACAGTCTGGCTACTTACTAGATGGCGCTCATCTCACTGCTGTCTCCCACTCAGCAATGATTGTAGTTAATGCTATTTTAGGTTCTCTGGGGCCCTCTCCTCCATGACCTCAGTAGACGGGACTTAATGTTCCACTTCTCATCAATGTGATGGCTCGTTGCAGTGATGTACGACAACGTGTTCATAGATGTCCAACAATCTGTTGTTAACGCCATGTATGGTGTTTGAGAGCTCGCGCTTTGTACTTGCGGAGCAAGGCCATCATCATCCAGGCCGTCACCGCTTTTTGACACGGCGTCTTGTTCTAGATATGCAGTCACGGCAGTGAAGCCGACATCCTCTACCATTGACAATGGCTGCATATCAACTGTAATCAGCGGTGTGGTTTTCTCACTCTGTCCCTTTTCATATGGTTAAGCATTGCACATGTACTGCCACTGCAGCTCAACTCACCTCCTTCTCATTTTAACTTCTCAGTATTGTCATACAATACTTTGCTGCTGTCACTTCCCTGTCTCACTCTGCCATTTTTCCAACGACGTTGACGTGCGGAGCACTTTATATCTGTGGTAAATCATTTGAAAGATGCTTATCTCCTCCTAATGTTACAGCATTGTTGCATTAGGTATTTGTTACATTTAAATGTGTCACTTTATGATGATGATCAGGACCTGTTAGTAGTAGTTATGTGAAAACGTTTTTCGGTTAGGGATTTTGTCTAAACGTTAACGATCCCAATGTCATTTATACGTTTAAACGTTCACACCCCTACAACAAACAATAGTGTCTGTTGTGTCCATCCATCCCAGTGTGTCAGATTAGCTGCTGTCAGAACTGTCTGAGATCAATCAGCCACCGCAGGAGCAAATTGACTTAGCTGATTGGCTGCCTTGCCTCTAATAACCCTGGTGTTGACTCCTTTCCATCTCTCCCTCGCTCTTTCTGTTCCTTCACTGTCTCTCTTCCTCTCCCCCCCTCTCTCTCTTCCTCTTAGGACGATCCTGCTGAGTGTGATCTCTCTGCTCAACGAGCCCAACACCTTCTCCCCAGCCAACGTGGACGCCTCCGTCATGTACCGCAAGTGGAGAGACAGCAAGGGCAAGGACAGAGAGTACGCAGAGATCATCAGGTGGGTGCTCGCGCGCACACACACACACACAGGGACCGTGTGCACAGATGGATCATATGGTCCACACAAAGAGCAAGGCCAGGCACAGAGAGAGCGACATGATCATTATGTAGGCACACATGCGCAGACACATATTAAGGGTGAGAACAGAGATTATACTCAATCCATCAGATACACACTTTACCACCTCCACAGTTAACTGATGTCCCTGTTATCCAGCTCTCACCATGTCTCTTCCCTGTCTCTTAACAGGAAGCAGGTCCACGCCACCAAAGCAGACGCTGAGCGCGACGGCGTGAAGGTGCCCACTACCCTGGCAGAGTATTGCGTCCGCACACGCGCCCCGCCCCCCGACGAGGGCTCCAACCTCTTCTACGACGATTACTATGACGACGAGGACCTGGAGGACGAAGACGAGAATGATGACGAGGACTGCTGCTACGACGAAGACGACTCGGGAACCGAGGAGTCCTGACGACCCACCATCGCCTCACTACCCCTTCCTCTCCCCCGTCACCACACCCCCCTTAAACTGAACTCATACTCCACCCCCCCCACAGTGCAGCCACACCTGCACGTTAAACCCAGATGCGTTTCGAAAGAAAGCTACAGATTTAGTTTGTCCATTTGTTTCTGGTGTTTTTATTTTCCTTTCTGCGGAGTGTCACAGAGCTAATGTTAGCTCTACAAATGATTCCCATGGTTTGCTCTTCATGGCGGCTCTCAATTACCGCTTGCTTTTTAACGTTTTGGGTAAGGGCTGTCTCCTGTAGAGTGTGTGTATCCAGACAGAGGCAGTGTGGAGAGAGAGAGAGGCGTGAGCTAGTAGTGTTCATCTGAGCTTAGTGACCTCTCACCTAGTTGACAGCCGTGTGAAGCCCGCCTTCCTGTCACACGAGGCTAACAGAATAAGGGGACCCCTGACATTTCACTCTTGGGTCTGGGGTTGCTCATAACTGTCTGCCACGGTCTACCTAGCTCTAGAGCCACGTTTTACTGTATGAATTGGTGGCTTGTAATGATAAGGGCGAATTGCAGACAGTTGATGTTCTGATGCTGATGTACTCTTTTGGAGACCTATGCAGTCTCTCATACATTTTACATTTTAGTCATTTAGCAGACGCTCTTATCCAGAGCGACTTCGTTAGTGCGTTCATCTTAAGATAGCTAGGTGGCACCACCACATCTCAGTCATAGTAAGTACATTTTTCTCCAATAAAGTAGCTATCAGCAAAGTCGGTGTTAGTTCACGAACGTCAATTATTTTGTAATATATATTTTTTGGGGTGAGGAGTATGGGCAGGGACTCTGCTGTCCTAGCTTCAGGGGGAAGCTGGTTCCAGCGTCGGGGTGCCAGGACAGAGAAGAGCTTTGACTGGCCCTCCTGTAGGGGTGGGAGGGCCAAGAAACCAGAGGTGGCGTAACTGAGTACTCTGGTTGAGGTGTAGGGTTTGAGCATAGCCTGAAGGTAGGGAGGGGCAGTTCCTCTTGCTGCTCCGTAGGAAAGTACAGAAAGGCAGTGGTCTCAGCTGGGGTTGTTTTTTTACCCATGGCCTGAACAACTGTGTTAAATACAGAGCTCCTAACTCTGATCACTACCTCATGCTTTTTCATAAGTCCAACACCACATGCTTGCAGTCCTCATGTAATTCCTCACCAGCCACATCCACTGCTCATTTAAAGATGGAAGTGAGGGATAATTGTCTCAATGTGTGTCTATATGCATGTTTGGGTGGTGGGTCATTATGTCATTCAAATGTAGTGCAGGAATGCTTCGCAATTGAGAAAATGTTTGCATTAACTCAACGTCAGTTTGAGTTAGACAACTCCCTATGCCAAGTCTGTGAAACAGTGATGTCTCGCACATCAGCCATTTTGAATTAGCTGATTTGTTTAAACTCCTCAGTCACTTGACCAAACATATGTCTGTAGAGGTGTAACACAAGTGGCTTCATCACACAGGATTTGACACACTAAATACAAACTATTTAACAGTATTTACACAACCCCATGTTTCTGTTGCTTCAGTAGTGTGTAAATGCTCATTCATCGTTACGCATTGACTATTTGATGGGAAGTGTGAGAGATGAGAAGGGCATTTCCCATCGAATGCTAGGGACGTGGATAGGGAGGGTTGAGTATTAGGTCATACAGCTATCCCACTAGCATGATGGTGTCCGGCTCGGTACAGGGCTGTAGGAAAACACTTTCGATTCCCATACTCCATTATAACTAAGTTGAGAATGGGCTTCTTTTGATGCAGTATGTTACTTCAGAATTAATAAGGTGTGAGCAAACATTTTTTTTCTTTACATGTACTTAGTGCTCAGATTCTTGACCTTTTGTTTTAAACACCATGTCATGCGGATATTCATTTGACTTAGTAGTACATTTACCACCATTTTAATTTTTTCCAATACAGAAATATTCAGGTATTTTTCCAATTGATGAAAATGGGTGATTACTGGAAACTCATGTACTCTTTGTCGTGTTAACATCTTGAGTATTAAGCATGTATACATCAATTCTTAACTGTTTTACATTCTCCATATGGCTGTTGCGTCACTTGAATAACCCCCGTTTTGTTTTAAGGAAGTGGGATTTAATTTTGTGAATCTGCCGTTTTTATAATCTACTGTATATTCCCTCCCAATGTGCAACCTTCCTTCCTTCCCATCCATACAGACTTTCTTTTTGGTGATGGCCATCACCGAGGGACCCCCGGTGTTACTAAGGAAAACAAAACCACAAACTTTCCCCCAACCTATCACCTCTACTTCAAAGACTGTATACAATCTGGATATTTTGACGATCACTTGATGTATTTCTTTCCTTGTTTGTATTTTTTTTATGGGTTGTAAATCAATTTAAAGCCTAAATAAAGATCTTTCTTAGACGTTTGAGCTGTTTCTTATAGCAGGAGTGAATGGATATATTCTAATAGACTGTTTATGGTCTAATATTTTCATTGACTAATTATAATTGAATACGATTCTTAACTCACTATTATTCATTAAATTCATTTCTGTTTTGTGTTCTTTTTATAGATACTGTGGGGATGTATGACTGAAGGATAACTATGAGGTAAGACTGTTCTTCCTCTACTCACACTTCTTATCTGGAGTGTTGAATGTAGATTAAGTGAAAATAAGTCACTGTTAATGTAACAAGGAAAGTTGATGATGAGATCTGTACTCTGTAGTCACCCTAACACCCAGTTGGGGTGGTGGCGACCTAAAGGATTTCCTGATGCTTTCCTTGGCTAAAAGGAGCACATACTGAATAGTACTGTTATAGCGTCTTTATTTATTCCATTCTCTGTTTGTGTTCTCTTCTAGACACTGTGGGAACGTATGACTTGGGGATAACTCTGAGGTAAGACTGTTATTCCTCTACTTACTCTTCTTATCCTGAGTGTTGAATGTAGAGAATGAATCCACTTAACTTTAGATTAACACCACAGTCTAAGGGTCTTGATCCAAATGGTTTTAGCCCTTTTTTGAGGACAGAGGTCAGATGTCGAGGATAGTTGATGATGATTTGTACCCTGCAGTCACCCTAAGAGCTGGGGTGGTGGCGACCTAAAGGATTTCCTGATGCGTTCCTCGACTAAATCATTACCAAAAACACATACTGTACGTTTGCTTCTTTATTTATTCTGTTCTCTGTTATGTGTTCGCTTACAGACACTTGGGAATGTACAGTTGAAGTCGGAAGTTTACATACACCTTAGCCAAATACATTTTAAACTCAGTTTTTCACAATTCCTGACTTTTAATCCTAGTAAACATTCCCTGTCTTAGGTCAATTAGGCTCACCACTTTATTTTAAGAATGTGAAATGTCAGAATAATAGTAGAGAATGATTTATTTCAGCTTTTATTTCTTTCTTCACATTCCCAGTGGGTCAGAAGTTTACATACTCAATTAGTATTTGGTAGCATTGCCTTTAAATTGTTTAACTTGGGTCAAACGTTTCGGGTAGCCTTCCACAAGCTTCCGACAATAATTTGGGTGAATTTTGGCCCATTCCTCCTGACAGAGCTGGTGTAACTGAGTCAGGTTTGTAGGCTTCCTTGCTCGCACACGCTTTTTCAGTTGAGCCCACAAATGTTCTATAGGATTGAGGTCAGGGCTTTGTGATGGCCACTCCAATACCTTGACTTTGTGGTCCTTAAGCCATTTTGCCACAACTTTGGAAGTATGCTTGGGGTCATTGTCCATTTGGAAGACCCATTTGCAACCAAGCTTTAACTTCCTGACTGATGTCTTGAGATGTTGCTTCAATATATCCACGTAATTTCCCTTCCTCATGATGCCATCTATTTTGTGAAGTGCACCAGTCCCTCCTTGCAGCAAAGCACCCCCACAGCATGATGCTGCCACCCCCGTGCTTCCTCCAAACATAACGATGGTCATTATGGCTAAACAGTTCTATTTTTGTTTCATCAGACCAGAGGACATTTCTCCAAAAAGTACGATCTTTGTCCCCATGTGCAGTTGCAAACCGTAGTCTGGCTTTTTTAATGGCGGTTTTGGAGCAGTGGCTTCTTCCTTGCTGAGCGGCCTTTCAGGTTATGTCAATATAGGACTCGTTTTACTGTGGATATAGATACTTTTGTACCTGTTTCCTCCAGCATCTTCACAAGGTCCTTTGCTTTTGTTCTGGGATTGATTTGCATTTTTCGCACCAAAGTATGTTCATCTCTAGGAGACAGAACGCGTCTCCTTCCTGAGTGGTATGACGGCTGCGTGGTCCCATGGTGTTTATATTTGCGTACTATTGTTTGTACAGATGAACGTGGTACCTTCAGGCGTTTGGAAATTGCTCCCAAGGATGAACCAGACTCTACAATTCTTTTTCTGAGGTCTTGGCTGATTTTCTTTTGATTTTTCCATGATGTCAAGCAAAGAGGCACTGAGTTTGAAGGTAGGCCTTGAAATACATCCACAGGTACATCTCCAATTGACTCAAATTATGTCAATTAGCCTATCAGAAGTTTCTAAAGCCATGACATCATTTTCTGGAATTTTCCAAGCTGTTTAAAGGCACAGTCAACTTAGTGTATGTAAACTTCTGACCCACTGGAATTGTGATACAGTGAAATAATCTGTCTGTAAACAATTGTTGGGAAAAAAAAACCTGTCATGCACAAAGTAGATGTCCTAACCGACTTGCCAAAACTATAGTTTGTTAACAAGACATTTGTGGAGTGGTTGAAAAACGAGTTTTAATGATTCCAACCTAAAGTGTATGTAAACTTCCGACTTCAACTGTATCACTCAGGGATATCGCTGAGGTAAGACTGTTGTGTACTATTCTCATCCTGAGTGTTGGTCAAAAGAAGCCACTTAACTTTAGATTAACCACAACACACTCAGGTTGTTGACCTTTTGGCCCTACTGGTTCTGGCACCCTTGTGATGTTAGGGGGTCAGGCGACAAGGAAAGTTGTTGATGAGATCTGTACCCTGCAGTCACCCTGAAAGATGGGGTGGTGGCGACCTAAAGGATTTCCTGATGCTCTCTTAGCTAAGCTATTTAAACATGTCATTATGCTGAAAATGGTTGAAAGATAAACTAACATGGTTATTCAAATAATAGCCTTGTGAGAAGAGATTTATATTGGCCTGTAAAGGACTCTTATGTATTTTTTACCTCTAGGGGGCAACATTACATTACCTTTCACTAGAGTCTAGAGTAGATAATAGTGGGGCTGTTGTTATCAGCTATAGTGTCGGTTTACACATGGTTTCAATCTGCTGACCAACTGAAACCGCATTAGATTCAACAGTAAATGTTACACATACAGACAACTGAACTTTCCACCACAGTTCCATCATAACTGTTAGCAGGTGGTTCTCTTTCACTTACAAAATGGCTCCTCTTGCAGTAGTGTGGGCAACAACACCAAAATAATGTGTACACCACCCTTAACAAATAGCACACAGTAAAGTGAAACATCAAACCAGTTTCAGTTTGATTATCTGATGGTGTTCTATGTCATTGCCCAGGCTACCTCACCTGTTGGGCATCGAGGGAGAAGACCCCATCCTTGTCTGATAAGAGAGGACATGGGCCAACTGCTCCATTTTATATCTTCAGAACACACACCAAGAGGGAGAGTCACATGACTCACAGAAACACTTCTAGCATTTTGAGGATTAGGAACAGATCAAAATTTACTGGGTGGGGGGGGTTATAAAAAAGTAATGCACTCCCCTCCCAAAGTATATATATTTTTTCTCACATGAACCTTCCCTTGTACTGTAAAATAAATTCAACACCCTCCCCCCTCATAGAGTTAACTAAAAATAATGTTTACGATCACAAATAATAACTGTAGCGACCCTGTGTTTTATAAACGTGGATATCTACTTCGCTATTGTAGCACAGTCGATGCCATGCAGGGCTACGTTTCTGAAGGTTGAGGGTTCGCCGACCACCACAGAGGAGCTCGCTGTCCCTGCCTGTTTCATTACTTCATGATCAGAGCTGTTGTCAGACAATGATCAGCTTGGGATTTTTCAACATTTTGATGCCGTATTTATAATTGTATAAAAGATAGGTAATTTATGGAACTGTATGTTGTCTGTATGCCTCTGGGACCAATTCTTAAGCCCGAAGGATAGCTGCTTTAACATTGTCCTAATCTGAACGCGTACACGTTCTGAACTTTTCCCACAAGAACACTTTGGAGGAGCAGTGACCAAATTCACTATATGGCCAAAAGTTTAGGCCTAGCTCGCAGTCGGTGTTCCAATTCATCCCAAAGGTGTTCGATGGGGTTGAGGTCAGGGCTCTGTGCAGGCCAGTCAAGTTGTTCCACACTGATCTCGACAAACCATTTCTGTATGGACCTCGCTTTGTGCACGGGGGCATTGTCATGCTGAAACAGGAAAGGGCCTTCCCAAAACTGTTGCCACAAAAGTTGGAAGCACAGAATTTTCTAGAATATCATTGTATGCTGTAGCGTTAAGATTTCCCTTCACTGGAACTAAGGGGCCTAGCCCAAACCATGAAAAACAGCCCCAGACCATTATTCCACATCCACCAAACTTTACAGTGGGCACTATGCATTCGGGCAGGTAGCGTTCTCCTGGCATCTGCCAAACCCAGATTCGACCATCGGATTGCCAGATGGTGAAGCGTGATTCATCACTGCTCCAGAGTCCAATGGCGGCGAGCTTTACACCACTCCAGCCGAAGCTTGGCATTGTGCATGGTGATCTTAGGCTTGTGTGCGGCTGCTCGGCCGTGGAAACCAATTCCATGAAGCTCCCGACGAGCAGTTATTGTGCTGAGGTTGCTTCCAGAGGCAGTTTGGAACTCGGTAGTGAGAGTTTTTACGCGCTACGCGCTTCAGCACTCGGCGGTCCAGTTCTGTGAGCTTGTCTGGCCTACTACTTCGCGGCTGAGCCGTTGTTGCTCCTAGAAGTTTCCACTTCACAATAACAGCACTTACAGTTGACCAAGGCAGTTCTAGCAGGGCAGACATTTCACGAACTGAGTTGTTGGAAAGGTGGTATCCTATCACGGTGCCACGTTGAAAGTCACTGAGCTCTTCAACACGGGCCATTCTACTGCCAAAGTTTGTCTATGGCGATTGCATGGCTGTGTGCTCAATTGTATACACCTGTCAGCAACGGGTGTGGCTGAAATAGCCAAATCCACAAATTTGAAGGGGTGTCCACATACTTTTGGCCATGTAGTGTATCTCGCAGCCATTTTAGGGATGTAGCAATCCGCTCAAACAGAGTAAAATATACATCCACCTCCTTTTTGTTGAAAGGTGGTATAAACCGGCTGTTCTTACCAAGATCAAACTCTGTTGAGGATGAAGGATGGCCTGACTTTATTCTGAGTACTTCCAGATCTATCTCCCTTTGTCGTGCTTCCAGCTCCATCTCTTTCAATTGAATGGCATGTGCACATTCTTGTTCTAGTCTGGCTGCATGTTCTCTTTCCCTTTCCTTGTGCTTAAACTCTGATTTCTGTTCCAATCTCTCCTCACATTCTCTTTCCTTTGTTCCCATTTTGCCTTTAGTGCTACGTCTCCCAGTTGCATGTCTATGGTGTGCACTCTACCACCCGTAGGACCCTTTTCATCATCCTCCCTCACCGGAAGAGTTTCCCCCTCCACCAAAGCAGTATAGACTAACTCTTTGACTACTGCTTTCGAATCGGCATGTGCAACTTTGATGTCATAATGCTTTGCAATGACGAGCAGATTCACCTTTGTACATTTATCTAGCATCTCCCATGTAGGGTTTTCCACAAATGCTTCGAACTTTATGCAACTTTCAAAATTATTCCACCAATCTTATAACCCTTCAGAGTGGATGTCAGTGACCGGAATTCTACCACAAAAGTGTATTTTGAATACTCAAATATCTGGGCACAGCAGAGCTTCAGAGTAGGTGATTAGACCGACTACCATACTCATGGGAAACAAGATTCCGGACGAGCCCCCATTTTTTGTTATATTCCCCAGCAAGAAAACATTTTTTTGCTGTTGCTCAAACAGAAAGGGGAACTAACAGAGTCACTGACAACAACCAAAATGAAACGGGTGGGGTTTTAGGATGGGTTCGGAAAGACACTCGTGGGTTTCCACTGAAAGTTGACTAGCAACAACAACTTGGACATAAGACACCCACCATGAGTGCACACCAAATTTGCCCAAGAAGAGACAAACAAAATAAAAACTCACACCAAACTTAAACACAGGAAGCAAACCAAAAAGTGGAGCAAAACAAAAACAGGGAAGATCAGATAAAGGATTGTTTGTCTAGAAATCAAGTAGGGAGTGCCAGCTAAAGGTGTTAACCCTCCTTCTCTCAAGACAACTGGAGCACTGGGCCAGCTACTCTTAAATAGCACCTAGGCCAGCACAGGTGAAACACCTTCCCTCTAATGAGATGACCAAACAGCACAGGTGTAATACAGAATGACTAACGAGGTGACACCGATCAGTGCGCCCTGTGTGCTAACGTCCCACCCCCGCCGGCCAAATAGGTAGGTCCCGCCAGCCAGATAGGTTGGTCCGGCCGGCCACATAGGTAGGTCCATAAAGGTAGGTCCAGATAGCTAGGTCCTGTTGGCCAGCCAGATAGCTAGGTCCGGCCAGCCATGTGGGTAGGTCCGGCCGGCCAGATAGGTCAGGCCGGCCACATAGGTAGGTACAGCCGGCCGGCCACATAGTTTTGCCCAGCCAGATATCCATCCCTACCTTGCTGAGCGGCCTTTCAGGTTATGTCGATATAGGACTCATTTTACTGTGGATATAGATACTTGTGTACCTGTTTCCACCAGCATCTTCACAGGGTCCTTTGCTGTTGTTCTGGGATTGATTTGCACTTTTCGCACAAAAGTACGTTCATTTCTAGGAGACCGAACGAGTCTCCTTCCTGAGCGGTATGACGGCTGAGTGGTCCCATGGTGTTTATACTTGCGTACTATTGTTTGTACAGATGAACGTGGTACCTTCAGGCGTTTGGAAATTGCTCCCAAGGTGGATCCAGGCTTGTGGAGGTCTACAATGTTTTTTCTGAGGTCTTGGCTGATTTCTTTTGATTTCCCCATGATGTCAAGCAAAGAGGCACTGAGTTTGAAGGTAGGTCTTGAAATACATCCACAGGTACACCTCCAATTGACTCAAATGATGTCAATTAGCCTATCAGAAGCTTCTAAAGCCATGACATCATTTTCTGGAATTTTCCAAGCTGTTTAAAGGCATAGTCAACTTAGTGTATGTAAACTTCTGACCCACTGGAATTGTGATGCAGTGAATTATAAGTGAAATAATCTGTCTGTAAACAATTGTTGGAAAAATGTATTGTGTCATGCACAAAGTAGATGTCCTAACCAACTTGCCAAAACTATAGTTTGTTAACAAGAAATTTGTTGAGTGGTTGAAAAACGAGTTTGAATGACGCCAACCTAAGTGTATGTAAACTTCCGACTTCAAATGTGTGTGTGTGTGTGTATATATATATATATATATACACAAACAATAGTACGCAAGTATAAAGACCATGGGACCACGCAGCCGTCATACCGCTCAGGAAGGAGACTCGTTCTGTCTCCTAGAGATGAACATACTTTGGTGCGAAAAGTGCAAATCAATCCCAGAACAACACCTTGTGAAGATGCTGGAGGAAACGGATACAAAAGTATCTATATCCACAGTAAAACAAGTCCTATATCGACATAACCTGAATGGCCGCTCAGCAAGGAAGAAGCCACTGCTCCAAAACCGCCATAAAAAAGCCAGACTACGGTTTGCAACTGCACATGGGGACAAAGATCGTACTTTTTGGAGAAATGTCCTCTGGTCTGATGAAACAAAAATAGAACTGTTTGGCCATAATGACCATCGTTATGTTTGGAGGAAAAAGGGGAATGCTTGCAAGCTGAAGAACACCATTCCAACCGGGAAGCACAGGGGTGGCAGCACCATGCTGTGGGGTTGCTTTGCTGCAGGAGGGACTGGTGCACTTCACAAAATAGATGGCATCATGAGGAAGGGAAATTATGTGGATATATTGAAGCAACATCTCAAGACATCAGTCAGGAAGTTAAAGCTTGGTCGCAAATGGGTCTTCCAAATGGACAATGACCCCAAGCATACTTCCAAAGTTGTGGAAAAATGGCTTAAGGACAACAAAGTCAAGGTATTGGAGTGGCCATCACAAAGCCCTGACCTCAATCTTATAGAAAATGTGTGGGCAGAACTGAAAAAGTGTGTGCGAGCAAGGAGGCCTACAAACCTGACTCAGTTACACCAGCTCTGTCAGGAGGAATGGGCCAAAATTCACCCAACTTATTGTGGAAAGCTTGTGGAAGGCTACCTGAAACGTTTGACCCAAGTTAAACAATTTAAAGGCAATGCTACCAAATACTAATTGAGTGTATGTAAACTTCTGACCCACTGGGAATGTGATGAAAGAAATAAAAGTTGAAATAAATCGTTCTCTACTATTATTCTGACATTTCACATTCTTAAAATAAAGTGGTGATCCTAACTGACCTAAGACAGGGAATTTTTACTGGGATTAAAT